ATTCTCTGTACTTCAGATAACTGGCTTAATCTTTTCATTTGCCGAAAATCAGATTTTCTTTCACTGTGTGAAGCTTCTGACTTAGTTGTTTGTAAATTTAAGTAAAAAGCAGCATTTCACAGCATTTACAGATGATGTAGCCTGTTTATACAGAAAGCACCAGGGCTATAATTACTACATGATCTCATTATGCATCAAGGTCAGGATTCTGTGATTCACTCTATTGTTTAGACATGAAGGGAGTTGATTTTCAGCATGGTGGTGTGCAACTACTATTATTGTTATATCAATGACTGTAGAAACAAGATTATCATTTGCTTGTTTCAGTTTTTCTAGTTAAGTTAACTCCAGTTAGCATACCATGAAAACAGGCCTGTTAATGTTTACTCTAAAATATTAATTAGGGATGCAAAATATATATATTATGTTGTTATTCAGGTTAAGTATGATATTTTGGGGAAAAGATACAAAGCAGGTGATTAAGTTATGATAACGCATGGATTGAAGAGCCACATAATTTATAAGCACAGACTCCCACTCTCCCACTCTATTTCAAAAAGACTTAGTCTATACCTTCTTTCATGATCATCATCCAGTTTCTAAAATCATAGGAAAGTAGGGCTGGAAGGGACCTCAACAAGTCATCTAGTCTCAGCCCCCTGTTCAAGGCAGGATCAGGATCATCCCTGACTAAACCATCCTAGCCAGGCGTCTGTTTAACCCGCTCTTGAACATTTCCAGGAATGGAGATTCCACAGCTTTGCTGGGCAGCTGCTCCAATGTGTCACCACATGCATAGTCAGAAAGATCTTCCTAATATCCAACCTAAATTTCCTCTTTTGAAACCTGAGGCCTTTGCTCCTCTCTCTACATATGTAATTCAGTCTGATAATTCATCTGTATATTATTCTGTTAATGCACGGAAAAGATGGGATCTCTAACTCTTCTGTCAAAGGAACACCCTCTTATTTAAGAAGTAGATGTAGTAAGGCACTCAAGTTGCACCATTGATTTTGATCAAACTAGTTTTATTTAAAATTCGGTATTAGCTGCTTGCCTAAATTGCACCATTGATTTTGATCAAACTAGTTTTATTTAAAATTCGGCATTAGCTGCTTGCCTAAATTGCAAACTTCACTATATTATTAATAAATAATAAATGACTGATATTCAGCCTTAACATACCCTTTAATGTCAGCCCATTAGTTATAATCCCTCCTATTACCTCACCCTAACAAACCATCCTCTTTCCTTGGTGTAGGAGTCCCTCAGGTACTTGTAAAAAGTTATCACATCTTTCTTTAGACCTCATTGCTGCCTGTCAATCCAGGTTACTTACACAGCCCCCCTTACTGAGGTATCTGAACATCTCACATAAACCAAATGAAAGTATCCTCCAAAGAGGAAGTAAGGAGGTAGGAGAGAACCATTGTCCCTATTGTTACACGTGGGAAATGAAGAGTCTACATAACTTGCGCAGGGCTGCAGCACATGGGTGCAGGGTGGGGTGCGCCCCCCACACCCGCTCCCCACGTGGAACCCTGCAGCCGCGTCCCCATCCCCCGCAGGGAGTGACTGCTGGGGGGCACTGGGGCTGAGGCTGTGCCAGGCTGATCCCAGTGGTGGGGAGGAGGGGTCGGCTGCACTCATGCCGCTCCAGGCTGTGGGGTGGCTCCCGCCACTGCATGTACTAGGAGGAGCTGGGGGAGGGGGGCCCACATTGCCCCCGGGCTCCCCAGCACCTCCCCTGCATGAGCTGCCGGGCTCTGATGGCCCCATGGCCTGGCCTGGCTGAGGCCACAGTCACGGTGAATGCAGCCCCAGCCAGACCAGGCCATCAGACCCTCGGAGCCCAGCAGCTCCTCCAGAGGCGGTGCTATCCCAGATGAGCCCAGGGGAGCATGTGGCCCCCAGTCTGTGCACAAAGTAGGGGTGGCTGCAGCTGTGGCCTCTGCTCCACCTCTGCTCCACACCTTGCTGCCCCTGCTCTGACAGGAGGGGGTGCCAAATGAGTCCCGCTGCAGGCCAGGCTAGGCAGTCAGGCACGCGTGTGTGGCCTGGGGCTGGGGGGTGGTGTCTATGGTGTGTGGCTGGGTGTGTGTGTGTGTGGCATGCGGCTGGGTGGGTGTGGCTGGGTGTGTGTGTGGCATGCGGCTGGGTCGGCTGGGTGGGTGTGGCTGGGTGTGGGTGTGGTGTGTGGCTGTGGGTGTGGCTTGCTGGGTGGTTGTGTGTGTGCCTGTGTGTGTGTGTGTGCCATGTGGCATGTTGCTGGGTGTGTGCGTGCATGAGTGGTGTGTGGAAGGGAGGCTGAGGGTGGGGAGGGGAGTTGCGCACGGCCGGATGTGGAACGGTGACAGCGCGGGGTGGTGGTGCTCGGTCCCCACACCCTCCCGTCATTCTTTACAGGCACTTTGCTAATCAGTACGTAAAGGAGGTGCACCATGATCTGGGAGAACACTTGTTCACCAGGGCTTTCCAAGGGACAACTATGTCTAATGGCCACAAACTTCTGGAAGGCCAATTTAGCCTGGACTTGAGGAAACACTCCTTTACAGAGCATGTGTCCAGGGTCTGGAACAGACTCCCCTCAGAGGTGATGCAAGCACCTACTCTGGACTCATTCAAAAGGCATTTAGATGCATATCTTGCTGGGATCATTTGACCCCAGCAGACTTCCTGCCTATAGAAGAGGGGGCTGGACTTGGTGATCTCGCGAGGCCCCTTCCAGCCCCTAATGTCTAAGAAGTCTATGAACATAATATTTTTTTCTGGCTTTTCTCTGCATGCCACTCAGTTTGCATCTATCACCATTGTACTAAGCTGCCAAGGAGTATTTTAGGGGTAGTCTCTCCAGAGCCACAGAAAGAAAATGAATATAATCATCCTTAGCCACAATGACCTTCCCAACGAGGACACAAAATCTTACCAACACTGCTGCCACACAGCCCAGAGCAGTACAATAATAATATAATGTACTGGAATTATCTTAAGTAACTTGTTAGGACAGAAACAGGCAAATCAAATGATAGATTTTGGATTGATGAGAAACTAATCAAATACAGATAAACTATTATCAGTTCCCAACTTAATGTAACAACTGGTGTCTTGGTTATTTGTGAGCTCTGCTTATGCTAACATTGGTTTACAAAGCATTGAAACACGGTCTTTTAAAGATTGATGTTACTTCAATTTTAAATAGCATAAACTTATATAAGTAGCATAGCCTACTACTGCTGGAGCAAGGCTTAATATGAAAACTGATGTGTTGAAATATCAGACACCAACAAACAGAAGAGTTAAGTTTAGCAAGGCAAGGCCAAACCCAGTGCTGACACTTCCTGTGATTTTATCATACTTGATTGCACACTGCCTGGCTGCCTGGTCTGCAAACGAAAGAACTAGCACCATGCTCAGATCTCTTTGAGACACTTGTTCCTGGGCACGGTTTTATGTTTCAAAGTGCAGCCTTCAGATTGCAGAGACCCAAGCTTCATGCTTCTCTGTCCACCTGGAAAAAAGGACATGCCTCTTCCTTTATACCCCTAATCAGTGACAGGCAGCAGCTCTTAACCATTTGCTGACTGCCTCTCTCACCACCTTCATGTTTTTCTTAAGGCCTCAGTTCCCTTGAGGTAAATAAGTAAGGATCTCAGCCTTTTTGTTAGTTTTTAAATATATTTGTAGCCATCTTATGAGGCTGGTCTCATGATCTTGTTTGAATGTGTGGGGTAGGCAGTACTTTGTGCCTGAAGGAGTAATTTGGAAACATTAAGTAAATTGGATAAAAGCCGAAAAGCAAACTACAAAATGTATGGTAATTAAATTTTGCCATGCTTTATATGCACAAAAGGGCTGGCATATGAAGACATGGGCAATATAATTTTTGGTATTTCTGAGTGCTTGACTTAACCTGAATGGTCAAGTCAAGGTACTTTGAACACAGGGTTTTTTTGTGTAATATCTTTGATATTAAAAAGTAAACTGATTCAGCAGAAATGTGATCATTTGCCTCCATACTGATACCCACCTAGGTGGTCATCAGTAGGTTTAGGGCCTTTAGATCCACCACATTGACCTTTGCCACTTGAGCTAACAGAGTAACTAATACCTCTTGAAGACTGTAGTTTCCCATGGGGAGCACCCACGGATTTTACAGATTTGCGGACAGAAGGTGGATGGTGAGATTTGGGGGTCTTATTCTGTTCTTAGTTTGGGTCTAATGGGCACAGACTCTTCTGCTTGTTACCATCTGGCTTTGCCTGTTCTTTCTTGCCCTAGTCCTGTTTTTTCCTCCAGTCTTGTTCCCTTGTCCAAGCCACTTCCTTTTGCCTATCCGATCTACTCAGGCTTTTCATCCCAGTCTATTGGCTTCACCAGTTCTAATCCCAAACGGTATTTTGCCCCAGGCATTTGCCTCTCCACTTCCCAGACCCAATCCTAGTTTCCAGGTCCAGTCCCAGCCCTAGCCTTTTCCTCTCCTCTGAATTTACTGTTCCAGTTTCTTTTTTAATATCTGTCTCTTACTCTTCCCTCCCAGCTCTTCGTTCCTGCCCTGTTCAGACAGTCCTATCCATTGCATTCTCCAAAAAAATATCAGCATGAGGTAAAAATCCGATACGTAACATCTCTGCCTGAATGGTTGGACTTTTGCAAAGTTGTAAATAAATGCAAACAGGGTCTTATGTAGGAGTGTCAGCTAACCCCCAAATCAGACAGTGCTGCCTGCCCTGCCTGTAACAGTCATGTGAATGAATGCAAAATTGAATTGCCTGCACAAAGTTGCTATCATGTAGCAATTTCTGACCCCATGGTTTTCTAATTGGTCTGTGTACTGCACGGAAAGTAACCAAGTAAAAAAATGTGAAATTCTTCAGGAGTGATTCTTTTTGTATATTCTGGACATTGTATCAAATATAACTTTTTTTTGTTAAAGTGACCTTGCAAATTGTGTAGCTTTGGTTGGCTCTTAATTACTCCTGTCACTTTTTCTCTTTATCTAGGTAATTTTCTTGTGGTGACAGATGAGACATGAGATCTTCAGCCTCCAGGCTTTCAAGTTTTTCTTCAAGAGATTCATTATGGAATCGGTAAGAAAGCAGCAAGACATTTTAGGTCAAAATAACAGGTTTCTAGTATTTGCTGTGTACTTTTTTTCTAAATCTTGGAGACAGTCCAGGTGTATGAGAAACAAGGCACCAGGTCATCTTTATTCCAATCACAGTATTTAACACTGTTTTCTTTTCTGTTTTTGTCAGTTTGGACTATTACAAAGCATGACTTTCTGGAAAAGGCCTAGAATTTATCAATAGGCCCTGTAAAAAGGAGAAGTCATATTTTGTCTGAACACACACTGAAGCAAATGCTGGCATTTATAAATCATTTTACTTAGCACTGGAAAAATATGTTTTGAAGCTGTTTCGCAAAGGAAATAGAAAAAAGGAGGCCTTTGAATTTCCATTCCATGCATGCAGATCTGATCAGGAATCTTCATTTAACTTTCCAAATAACATAGATCTGAGATCAGTCAGCCAGGACTTGTGTGGGGGTTTTAAAGAGCAGAGTCATAACTTCTGGTGATGTAGAACAGCACAGAGTTGTCTAAACAGACTTTTGTTTAGTCACTCTATGAATGGTGAGTACTCTTATTTATTTATACTGTGTCTTATTCAACAAAAAGCCATGTTTGAATTGCCTGAGCTGAACCCACAGCAACAGTGTAGTTCAGAGTTAAGGCTGACACCCTTAATTTCACCTCACTTTAGTGTTTCGGCTGTTGTCCTTAAGAAGATTGCATTCTAGCCTAAGGTCATAATACCTATCACTCAACAGACAGGTTGGTTAGATTACCTAGATTAGTGGTTCTCAACCTTTTTAGACTCAAGGCACCCCTCAGAAAATGCCAGGTCTTACCTTTCACTTGTTTTTTTTAACTACAGAAAAATAATACAGCAGCTCTTTTTCTTGCGAAGACCAGAACAGGTCAGTGTGGTTTTGACATTAGAGATTCCATTTGAAATACCTGGGTTCATCTAGCCACCCATGTGTGCCTAAAAGTGCTAATAATATGTAGCACCCTAAAAAAGATTTTGCAGCACTCTCAGATGCTGCAGAACCTTGGTTGAGAATCACTGACCTAGATCCAACCACTGAAGCTTAGAGGATTGCAATTAATATGCTAAGTTGTCTATGTAAATCTGATCTTGAAACATCACTTCTTGTTTTCTCTTAATTTTCCTAACTTTTCATGCAGTTACATTAAAAACACACTAATGGAGACAGTCAGGAATAGTCTGAAATTGCTTTAAAATCAGCCTAAATCCAAATGGTTATAGCTGCAGATATGCACCCATATTTGCCAGGCAATGCCTGTTTATTTTTAAAAAATCATATGGAAGAGCAAACTTTTAAAGCCACACAACTATGTATTGTGCAGTGTTCCTGTCATACCCTGCAATATACTGCAGCACAGGGCTGTCCCAATTTCAGTGGGCCTGGGGCTGCAAATGAAGGCTATGTGTATGCCATAGACCAGTGGTGGGCAAAATGCAGCCCTTGGGCCAGATGCAGTCTGCCAGGCCATTCCATTTGGCCCTCGGGGCCCCTAAAAAAATTAGAAAATTAATATTTATCTGCCCCTGGCTGCCTGTCATGTGGCCCTCAATGGCTTGCCAAAACTCAGTAAGTGGCCCTCCACCCAAAGTAATTGCCCACCTCTGCCACAGACTGTGGGAACAGGGCCCCAGGATCCCTGTGCAGGCTGTATCAGCAGCACACAGCACCCTGCTCCCCACTGCATGGACTCTACCAGCAGTGTGTGATCTCCATTGCTTGGGCAAAGCCGGTGGTATGTGGCCCCCACTGGGCCCTCTCCCTCCATGCAGCAGTGGGAGAGGTGGCTAAATGAGCCTGGGCCATGTAAAGCCCAGTTGGACAGTCCTGCTGCAGTATACAAGCCTACAGAACAGATCCATTGGGCTACAATCATTAAGGGGATTGCACTCCTGTGCGCACCGCTGAGAAGCGTGCTGCCTCTACTGCAGATGTGCCAAACCTAGAAACAAGGCAGTGAAGATGCCCTGTGGGTGCCCCTCATCCCCCCCACTCTGAAGCACGCTAGAGACAGCTATCATAGGAGCTCACGGGGGGGTGCCTTCATTGACTCTCCACTTCTGGGTTTGAAGAATGCAGAGCAGGAGTGGATAGGCAGGCTGTGCTTCTCAGTGGAGCTCCTGGGAGTGCATGGAAGTGGTCTAGACATATCCTTAATGTTTCAGGCTTGGTGAAGTGTACTAGGCTGACAGCCAAGGAGGTAAAGTCCTCCATTTACCTATAAAACAGATAGTGTGTGGGGTGGGGAAGCTTCCCTTCCCCCATCCACCTGACATGTGCACCAACCTGACTGGAGACAGCACTTCTACAGGGAGACGAGAATTTACTTTCAGAAGTCTGCAGTGGATATGATCATGATTAAGTGTTACTAAATACACAGGCAGATGGCCCATTATGGTTGGCCTTTCTACTGAAATTCCCTACAAGTAAATTTAATTTAGCATCATGTAGAGCCTGATCCATTAGAAACTGGACTAAGACCAGTGAGCTCATTTCTCAAAGGCCATCAGATACTCATCTAACGGTAGCATGCTTGGGTCACTGTTGTCTCAGATGGTGTTTTAACCAGTGACTTTGAAGCAGACGTTCTACCTCATTGCCAGCCTGTTATATTACCCAGCCTCCCTGCTGTAGCTCAGAATGAGAAGCCAGGCTTTATTTCTATCAGGGGCTAAAAACATCCGTGACTTCACTGTAAACTCAAAGGTTGTTGAGTTACGGTAAAACCTTGAATTCTAACGCTGGTACGCTTTAAATATCCCATATTTTGCACATAAGCAGGCAAACAGTTTTTCTTGAAAATGTATAACTAGAGCAAGAAATTGCTTCCTAGCTAAAACTTTGTATGCCTAGTCCAAGTCTGGAGTGACTATTTTTGGCTGGATTATAAAACCCGTTGTTTTCAGGGATTTGTAAAGGAAATGCAGATGTACCATTAAGTTTAGTGGTTGTAGGGACCTCCTCTTACAATATCCTTCATTTGTAGACTCATTTGTATCAGCATTTTCATTTTATCACTATACTGATACAACAACTAGGATTAAATAGTGAACAGCAAAGTGTGTGCAGTCAACACTATAATCCTCTCGGGGGGTTTCATCTACTCATGTTCAGAGGGGCATGGGCATGTTTGCCGAGTTGGGGCCTTAGAGCATAAGCTTTCCTAAGATTACAGCTTGGTGTGTGTGTACCCTGCCTGCTGCAGTCCTAATTAAGCCACTAGATACTGCTTAAATACGCTTGACTATAAATACATACTGATAAATTATACTTGTTTACAACTGACTAGAAATTTATCCCTGATTTGAATATCGCAAACATCATCTAGAACGTCCCTTTTATTTACCAGTGAGTCATTCTTCTGTCTCCAGAAAAACTGGTGCTTTTAAAAATTTTTGGTCTAAGGGCTTTTCATTTTTGTGGGAATGAATATCCACATTTCTCTAAAAGTCTGTATAATAAAATGAATGAAAATATTGTACATATTGTACTTTTCACTTATGGAGCATATAGTGCTTTAAATTCAAGAAAGTGGTTGCCACTATTTCATTATCCCTATTCCACAGGTGGGGAATATGAGGTGTAAAATGGTGGTATGCCTTGACCAAAGGGAAACCGCAGTGCAGTAGTATACTGAGGAACTGAACCCAGGTCTCCTAACTCCTACTCTGACCCCAACCCTGCCTCTATATGTGGGCCTGAATCTGCAGTCACTGGGTGCATCTACATGTGCTTTAATGTGCATTAGCCTATTTTATTGCACGTTAAAGAGTTGCTGAAAAAAACCAGTGCTATTTAGTTAATGTGCATTAAAATAGGCTAATGCGCATTCACTAAAGCACATAATGCATGTGTAGACATATGCATTGTGTAGGCAAAACTCATGATGCCCTTAGTGGGAGTTTACTGCCTGAATAGGGCTGGAGAGTTGCTCAGGAAGGGATTTGGGTACATCACTTCCAATGTGAAACAGAAAATATTGAAATGTTTGCAATGGGTTGATGAATTATTTCAGTCTTTTATTCTAGCAAAGTCTGCTGCACCAGCTGCCCTGCAGCCTGTTTATTTTTGCAGTATCATTCCCACTTTTTAGTCAGCATACTTCCTCCTATTAAAATCAGCTTAGATAGTAGTGATTTTTCTTTTTTTTTACAAAAGCTAGTTGCTGTCTCTCACTGATTGTGAAGAAGAAACAAGTCAGTTTGGCCTGGTCTACTCTCAGCCCAGTCAGCAAATGCCATCTCCCCTTTCCCTTTGTAACACCTTGCAACTCCACAAAGAAAAAAAAATGAGTCTACAGGCAACGGCCTGACTTACAGCGAGTTACTGGCATGACAGTCCAAACAGTGTGGCTTATATCCAACTTGCTTCAAGCAGTGATAACCATTGTGCAGTTTTCCACTGTGCTAGTCTTCATCAAGGCAGTGTCAATGGGCACGGGGATTGCTGGCATGACGGTCCAAACAGTGCTAACTATCCTATCACTGTTGCCCTGCACTGAACTGGACACTGCTTAAGTAGCCTGTCCCATCCATGTGGCCAAGCTTGCCAGAAACCCAAATATGCCAACTCAATTGATGATTTTTTTCCAGTAATCAACACCTGCAAGAGTTTTGTCTTCATAATGACTCAAACACACAGGGTTTTATCTCTGATACCAGGGGTGACTGGTGCCTCCTGATTTGGGGGGGAGGGCGCAATTTGTGGGCAGGCCTGGGGGTGGGCCAAAAGCCCCATGTCCAATCCTATACTTCTGTGCCATGGCATAGTGCCCCCCCACCCCACCCCACCCCACCCCAACACACCACCAGCTTATGCAGCCCACTGCGTCCTGAGCAGTGCCAAGTCGGGGGCCAATCTCGGGGGGGGGGCATGTGCCCCCCACTGTGTTCCCCCTACCAATTGCCTGTGTCTGATATCTTTTAATAATTAGTCCTATATGAACCTGAGCTCTGTCCTAGTCCACACGTTGTGTTTC